AGCATCATCCGGTATCTCCATCATCTGGTGCCAGCCTCATGGCTGGACTTTCTGGTCCGTCCAGGTACATTCAGAAGGCTGGCTCACTTCGCCCAGGACAGACGCTGGACACAATAGGTCTCTCAAGGTTCGATTCGGACACCGGTAGACTTGGTCTATTTGCGGCTGTCTGCAGCATACCTATGGCCTGTCGAGCCGCCTGTGATCTGTATGAATTCGCCAACAGGGAGGCCTGGCTTGTAAACCCTCGTCTCAAAGAGCCCGGCCACAGAGCTGGCAATCCGTTGTTCAGCCGTGGTGAGATCACCCTGGCAACCGGGTATGAGCTCACTGGGTCGGCACTCACACTTCATCTGCTCCAGTTGATCTCGTCTATTTCACCAGATCTTGAGTCCTATCCAACGTTGGGCTATTCTTCAGCCTCAGCGGCACCAAAGCCGGAGGTGTTTCTGTTGCAGATTTTCATGTGTCTGGCAATCGGACTCACCAGCGCTGTTTGGATCTGTTTGGTGAAAGGCATCAACACTTGGCACCAGTTCTGTCGACAACGATGCCCGCGACTTTCAGGCGCTCTTGGCTGTCTTCCTGTAGCCAAACGGCTCGCCTGTTGCACTTGCGGCCTGGAGACTGGCACCGGCTTGCAGACATCTGCTAAGGCACGAAAACATGTGACCCTACTGACGGGCCCGGCAGCGCTGTCGCCTTTCAAGACGCCCGTGGAGGCTGGTCGAGTAGCCGGTCCACCACACAACTATGCAGTCTACCAACAGCTGGCACCGGGTCAGGCTTTCGGTCCGAGCCACAGTCTTTCAACTGGCCCGGGGTTCGAGCCCAGTGTCATGCGACTTGCTGCCGCCTCCACTCCCGGGAACGCAGGTCACATTTGCACAAATGGTGGTAGTAATTTGAAAAAAACAGCTAATCTCTGTCAAAGTAACACTTCGGCAAGTCCCAACGACAGCAGCGGTGGTTACTACAGCAACACCAGACTTCTGGCCAGCCCGAAGGGTCAGACGGCTGGACTCGCTTCGCTGGGCAGCAAGAGTCTGACCAACTCTTCGTCGATGTCGCCCTTCCTCACGGCAACCACGCTAGCGACAACAGGGTTCATGGGCCTCGAGGCTATTCCATCTCAGACTGGCCCGCCTGGCAACGGCTGTCTCGTGGCATCATGTCCCCGGCCAACCGAGGCTCTAGAGACGCAGACATTTCAGGGGTCAGTCGGTCCAATGACCTGGTGGCCGGGGGGTGAGGTCGCCTACTCGCCGGACGCTGATCGCCAGAATGCGTTGGCAATGGACCAAACACGCGATCTAATTTAGCCCAACCCCACGGCTCCATGTCTCCGATTTTCTCTAATTCCATCCTCCTGCCAGGCAACGAGGATTCGGACCATTGCTCTACGACATCTCACAACTGCCTCGCAATGCTAGCCTTGTGTATCCGGAAATGATAATGAAGCAGCCCGGCAGAAAACTGCACTGTAGGGTAGAAATATGCCTTGTTATCTTGCTCTTGATCAGAGGTTAACAGGAAATGACTGCTGAAGTGGCCATCTTAGGCAGCTTTGAGCAGGAAAATGGAGAAATTGCCATGACTTACGACTTCCTGCAAGTCTCTCCTGGCCTCCCTTCGTCTCTTATAGGTACCATTTTATCCAACCTCGAAATGCTTTCCTCTCATTTGTTTCCCTGCAAACTGTCTCTTAGGCTTCTTGCTCTCTTCATTGCACAAGTGCACACCCACACCCACACAAAGGTACTTACACACAAGATTGCAAATGTATATCCGATTACGTATGCATTCTTATGTATGCGTATGTAAGTGTGTAGATATCAACATGAGCGAGATCCCGTTTTGCCCTTCAATCATCGAAGCCCACATTCTCGTATTGCATTATCTGAGTGCCGTTTTCTATTTATTTTGCCTCGTTGAATTTCTCCCCTCCCGCCAATTAAGGCTTGTCGAGCTGGTGCTAAAATGCTGCCGGTAGTGTACACTTTCATACAGGGTATTTTGCATGGTATGTTAATTTTTATTTCAACAAACAGCAGCAACTGTTTACATCTTTCTTCCTCCCTCTCTCTCTCTCTCTCTTTCTCTCTCTCTCTCTCTCTGTGTATGTATTTGCGCACATGGACATTTTAGTTCAACTACCCAAGGACGTACGGCCCTTTGAGCATACATCAACAATCTCAAGTTGATTGTAAGCTATACCACCTTTGTGATCATGACTACTAATTTCTATGACCTTCACTTGATCCCCGAAATGGCTCCTCTTTCACTCTGACGGCCTTTGATATTCTCGCTTCTGTCATGGGTACAAATTGAGTGATTTAATGTACACATAATTGATTTTATTCTGCCTTATTCAAGGATGCACTCTCCTCACGTGCCAAAATTCACTCAACCTTTTTCATAATTCATGGCGTGACATCCTTTTTTTTATTTATGCTGATCCAAATATGACACTATCCGGTGTCCCGGGCTCTCTTCCAGCCATCTCATTTCGGGTCTCCCTTGGCGTACTTTATCCCAAGACTACCGCTTCCACTATGTGCAATCGCCCGTTCATCTGCTGTTGGCTCTCGCAAATCGGTAGTAACCGACATCAGCTCTACCCTTCTTAAAGCTGGCTTATCTGCCTCGAGATGAGGCAGGGCAGTTATCAAACATCAATTATTGCTTTTGTGCCTCTCTTCCCATCATGTTGCTCTCCTCTTCGATCTTAGACTCAGCGGGTTGAGCAATTCGGACTCTGGCTCTGTGACTCCCATTTTTCCATCTCTCCATCCCACTCCTATTGCCAACTCGGCCCAAACTTCAGCCTCCCGCCAAAAGCCAGCCTCAACAGACCTTCGCCTCTTCCCAACTCTCTCTGCCGAGACATGCCAACATCTGAGACTGGTTTCTATGCGTACTCTCCCTAAAGACATCATTGTGCTCTTCCAATTTCTTTCATTGAATTGGGCCGTTCAGTCGGCTCGTCTGTCCCCCACGCAGGGGTCAAGTTCAGACAACTACAGGGTCAAATAAATGCTGTTATACTTTGTTTTTATGAGGCAGCCAAAAGTCTTTTAGCCCAAGAGAATGAACTAAATTCATCTCCTTTACGAGCGCACACGTAGACAGAGAGCAGCTAAGGCATGAGTTCTGCACTCGAAAAGAAAATAGGCCAACACTGTGGACATTCTCGATAATCTCGGTCTCCCCTGTCGCCTGGACCAGCTTAATTTGTTTACCTTCGCCGTGAATGTGTCCTTTATATGGAAAAGTGGAACGAATTTCATTCTAGCCTGAGTATTTCTGATTCGACAATAGGACTCCATGAGCCACCCTCTTCAGCATTAAAGCCTACATAGGCAAACAGCTTACTTATAGATATGAAGAAAAACTGGGTTTCGAAAAATTCCTTACCTGCATCCTTCCACGCGTTGTTCGAGTGATAATGGCGTGCAGCCTACCAGTTGCATAGAATGTAGGGCGTAGTCCAGGGTGTCTTAGTATCTGATCTGAAGTTAGCAGAAGTTTGATTTAATAAAATGTTTAACTTAAAAATACGAAATGGGGCAATATGGAGTGGATTATATTTACGTGACTATTGTCTGTAATGATGTTAATATTTATAATAATGGAGATACCAATATTAGTACTAATAACAATAATGCTGATAGCTCTTTTTTGCAACTTTTTTTACTGTGTAAGGCCTTAAATAACGTACCCAGTCATAGAAATCGGGATAATTTCAGGCATCCGTCTGCTGAAGATTTCGCGGGATCGTAGTTTACAACCCCTGAAAGAAGCGCTAGATTTAGTAGCGAACTACAATTTGTCAATAGGCAAATTTTGGTCCTATGATTGGTACTGTCCACTGACGATGCTGGCGAAACTTCGGTGAATTATCGTAAAGCATGGTGCCCTGTTTTGACAATGTACGTCACATGACAGACGAAAGCTCAGAAATATTTCCTCAGGGTTGCAGGGCGGTCAGCCGACGACCAATTCCCACAAATCCACAATCACTGCTCCGAATAATCCGACTACAGCTTCCGGTGAGGCCAACTAACGAATTCCTTCCACTTGCCTCTTCCATCGAAATGAAAGATACTTCAACATTACTTTTATTCTTTTTGAGTAGTAGTAGATCCTAAATTATAGCTTTAACCAAACTAGATTGCTTAATGTGATTCAAGAATGATAGTCAATTTTCCCATACTAACATAAGTACAGGGAGAGAAGAAAGTTAACAACATTTGTGGAGCCCACTCATCTAATTTTGGGAAATTGTACTATTACTCCTTCATCCCTTTAAGTGACCTAGGATGACGACAGTTCTTATTTAAAATCTACTGATAGTCAAAACGAATAAAAGCAACATTGTAGACTGTAATGCGACACATGCTTGCTTCACGACCATCCCATCATAGAAATGTGATATGAGAAGGGAATAGCTTGCTTTTAAATTCACTTCTGCCCTATGACTGACTGACACTCGTGGCAGCGTGGCGCAACGTTAGAAGGTCGAAATCATAAACGGCATTACCCAGGTTCGAGTCCCGTTGAGGGGATAACTAAATAAAGTTAAAACTGCAGTCTAGTCTAGCCAGGACGAGATTATTTTTGGGAATTAAAACTAAGGGATATTGAAGGATGGATTAATAACGACTTATTGTGGGAAAATTTGATGAAGCTCTACTTCTTGACTAGAGCTGCTAAATTGACTTATCTTCGACTGTTATTTCATCCGTCCTTGAAATGAAGTTGCTTCGCTTCAATTCATTGAAAACATAGAGCCTAATCCTATTGTTGCGGGAAAATTGAACTACCAGTTCAATCGCCTTAAAAGCAATATGGTGAGTACAGCTTTTACATAAAATCTTTCGGTATTCTCGAAAACTTAATAATGAAAATAAAAATATATGAATGGGCATCATTTTCTGCTTCGAAACAGCTACTGATGCCGGTAAACTAATGGGCTTTTTGGTTGCTGTTTCTAATAGATGAGATCTAATTTGGCAGACAGAATAATCCTCGATTGGAGACCGGATATCACTGGAATAAATTAAGCACACAGAACCTTATATTATTGAACGGACAATTAATCCTGGTTGATATTCCATCAGTAGTGTAGGTCCATTTATCAAGAGTGGAATACAGTGGGCTATGATCTCCATCAAAGTTTCAGTTTTTTCGATCTGTTTTACGGCTTGTGTGAGGACCCCGCTGGATATAATTGGACATTGGTATGAAAGTGTATTTCTCCCTACAATTTTCTCAACCTGGTCTTGGTATCAGGAAGAGTTCGGAGAATCTACCTCGTTCTAAATCCTCTTCCATAGTGACCATGAATATTTCCAGCATCAGGCCAATGACTTAGTTCATTATCAGACGTTTTACAAGCACATTATTGGTTACAGTAAGTAAAAAATTCCAACTTTGACACCGAATTCACACTAGTTAGAGACAAATCTTGGCAAGGCTCACTGACGTTGCCTATAAAACATGTGGGAATATACTGTCATCGGTAAAATGCTGGAAATAAGCAGAATTACTCTTCGAGGTCTCATTGATGCAATGACCCAGTTGCGAAAACGTGATAGGACCTTTTGATTTATTCCACAGCAAATTCATTTTTTAAGTAAATAAAACCTAAAACCAAAGTTAGGTCATCTCTTCGAAGGGACTGTTGAATAAATAGTTTAATTCCTCCACAAGAAATGATTTTTTATCAAATAACCATAGGCCAATAAAAGATCCTGATCAAATTGCCTTAATGTGAAGGTCAACCTGAACAACGTATTAAAGCCAAACGACTGTATACAACGAGAATCAGTCGTCGTTTTCTGACGAGATCGACCTTCGAATTTCTTCCTCCTGCACTTTCATGCTAAATGCTAGTCTCCTCAACCAATTGCTTACCCAAGAATGTCAATCTATTTGGGGTATTTACAAAGCCAACTAAGCCACGTTATGTTGAGGATGTCTCAAGCTCCCCTATACGTGGGTCAAGCATAAAAAGTTTGAAACAAACTTCAAATTTCAAGCGTATTCTCGAAGTAACTATTTGGCTTTTCTTAATGCATGTTTAACAGCAGGCGACTTATATGCAAAAAACGATAAATATCATGTTCGGTTTCTGTCGTGTATGCAGCAAAAAATTGTTTATATTATTTTTACATTGCAAGTGATGTATAATGAAGAGATTCACAGGTCGAGCTCACCAATCAACGATGGCTGATCTTTCTTGACCAGCTTTGGCATAGATTTACTGAAATATTCTGGTTGATTCTACCCTCGTTATAAACTCCTTCGATTCCGGTGAAAACCTGCTGAGCTTTAGACTCTTAAGAAGTGGGTTGACCTCGTTGTCTCAACTTGGTCAGGGCGACTTAGTAAAACGCACCTAGTCCATAGTCGTCTGCCATAGTAGTTGTCATTATTCCCAGCATCAGACAATGGACTTGGTACATTCTCAAACGTTTCGTCGGCATCTTAGTGGGAATCATGACAACTACTATGGCAGACGACTTCGGACTAGGGGCTTTGTACTAAGTCCCCCTTACAACAAGGCCAAGTTGCGACGAGGTCAACCCACTTCTATCAATCAAAAGGAGACTGCGACCATACCAGAGGCCACAACATCTTGGTCTTCATATCTTCAATTTAGACTCTTAAGCCTAAGAATTTTTATGAGGTATGTACAGATTTGGTTAGTTCATGTCATATTTGAATCTAAAAACGCATGCTTATGTATACTTGTGTATGTACGGGCATTCCCTTAGGTTATGAAATATTTTGTTTTTATCTACCCTTTGACAATAAGAGTGACGGTTCTCACATTTATGACGAGGATTACGTGAGTACATATTCTTGTAGCAGGCAGATCGTATAATGAGCCAATTCCTCTAAGGTGTGCATAACCAAATCAAGATTCGGGCTTTTTTCCCTTATCTTCTTATAAAGGAAAAATGAAAACAAAGTTATATTATGAGAGCAATTCTCAGGTTGCTCATTTCGTACCTGTCTCCTTAAAAAAATTTATCTCTTATTACTATCTATCTAAAAATCTATATATATATATATATACTCTGTAATATCTAGAAGGTAACCGATGGCCAAATCATTCAATGTCAGGTAGTAAAGTCGAGTTGTCTAAGTAGATAATCACTTTACGGGCATTAGCAAAGCAACTATAACACAAGTAAACTGATTGATTTACCCCGTATGTCATTAGACATCTCTCTTTTTGCCAAGTTTGGTTGAAGTGATTTGTAAATTGGTGTATTCGGAAACCAAAGACGCCAATTTATGTTTTTTTTCATTCCAACTTTTCTTACTAGATGAAAAGGCTATTGTGAAAATATTAAGGTAGAATTCATGATCCAGCTTTATATCTTATATAGAAGCACAACATTTTTCACTATTGAATAGGTTTCGAGGCTAAGTCCTACTGGCCAAAGTGGTATCGAGTGTATGACTAGGACATATGCATATTGTACTGTTTCAGGACTGGTTGAAGAAGAGGTAAAACTGTAGGAGTAACAGCTTCCGACTAGCCATCTTCTCTAGCCTTGGGCCAATTCAATCGATGGGCATGAGGCCGATACCACACTCCGCACACTCAAGACATTGGGGCAGAAGTGCCTCTCTACCAAGAAAAATGTTTAGATAAGGCCTCGGGTCTTATTTTCAGGCTATCTCATAGACGGGCTCATCGGCTCGTCAGGGCTGGCTTTCGACTTCAAAGGAGGAGCAGAATGCAAGCAAGAGGGAGTCAGTAGGGACGGTTAGGCAAGAAAGACTTGGGCTCCGAAGGAAGACAAACCAGAATTGCAGCATAGGCAATGGGAACGAGGCCCGGTTTGGGGTAAGGTCAAGCCTCATTTTGGCAGACTGTCATATCCAGAATGCATTTTCGCACTATCAAGATTTCGTCTGCCCTACAAAGTGTGAGGTCTAGACAGTTTGAAGACAGCTGTACAGCCAGACAAATAGGCCAAAAGATTGACAGATAGATGGATAAACGGATGGAGGAA